TCTCTCTCTCTCTCTCTCTCTCTCTCTCTCTCTCTCTCTCTCTCTCTCTCTCTCTCTCTCTCTCTCTCTCTCTCTCTCTCTCTCATTCTCTCTGTCTCATACACTCTCCCAGTCATCCTCTCACTATATATGTATATTCGTTCTACTTCTGACCTTCACATCCTCTGCTTCCCTTATTTTTATCATTATCATCTTCCTTATTCCTCGCGCTTCCCTCTTCTTACTCCCATCTTCGTCCACCTCCCCTATGATACTGGCTCTCCTGTCTTTTATTACTACCAATCATTCTCGCCATTATCATCTGTGCAAACTCTTCCTTTCCATCTTACTTACATCTCTTCCTCCCCTTATTCTCTCACCTTTCTTCCATCTCTCTCACCCCCGTGTTAGTATTTACCCCACACTCTCATCCTAATTTATATCGCCCTCTTAGCCGTTGTGGTAAGCTCTACCCTCTTTCTCTGACCTCACATCTCTTTCCCATCACTCTCACCAGTCTTAGATATATAGCCAACTCACACAAACACACACACACACACACACACACACACACACCGTCCAAACTCTCGCACCAGCTCTCTCACCTCCTCCTCCTCCTCCTTAAATGCTCTCACTCACCATAATATTCTCGTCTCTATTCTATATTCCCTCACGTTTATTTCCCAATATCTGTCTCCTCTTTACTTTCTCTATTTACGTTCCTTCTCTTGGTATGTTCTTTGTTTCCACTACCTCTTCCTTCTCGTCCTTCCCCTCTTCTATTTCCACCACTTCCCTCTATTAGTTCTTCTTCTTCTTCTTCTTCTTCTTCTTCTTCTTCTTCTTCTTCTTCTTCTTCCAGTTACTTCCTTTCCATCTCTTCATTCAATCAGCTCCTTCTTCCTCCAATCACATCCTCCTCCAATTTCCTCTTTTTCTTCAACTGCAGTTACTTCCTTCTTCTCCTCCTCAAACCACCTCCTTCTTCTCATCCTCCTCAAATCACCTCCTTCTCCTCCTCATATTACCTCCTTCTTCTCATCGTCGTCCTGTTCTGACTACTCATCCAATCACCTACTTCTCCTCCAATCTACTCCTTTTCCACCTCCTCATCCTACCCCTTCAGTCATCCTTGTCCCTTAATCACCTCTTCTTCCTCCTTGCAATATTATTCTTGGGTAGTTCCACAATGCAAACGTGGATAAGATAAATCTTGATAAAACCACAAAGGAAAAGAGAATAACTGGAGCACGTTAACTTTCATAGGTGCTACTATACAATAGTATGCGGTCTACCGAGCTGGAGTTGGTCTACCGAGATATTAACACTCTAACCGAGCGTCTAGTAACCCAACCTAACCTAACCTAATTTGATCTAATATATCTTAGCCTAAGCTAACCTAACCTAACCTAACCTAACCTAGGTTAGATTAGGTTAATGGTTGCTACAGTGTAAATATCCCGGTAGACACAACTCCAGCTCGGTAAACCACATACTATAGTAGCACCCTTTTGTCTTTATTCAAGACATTTTCAGAGACAACTGAGTTTACAGGGACTGAGAGAGGCTTATACTCGTGTAACATCAGGTCAGGTCAATAACATGGGACCCACTAATCCACACAACACCCTCTCGGTCCCTGTAAATTCAGTTGCCTCTGAAAATGTCTTGAATAAAGACGTAAGCTATTTATAATTTTCAATTTTGTTAATTCACTTCAATCTCGCCTGCCTGTGTGGACGACTCAAACTATGTATTACTTTTTCCGGCCACGCAGAAAAACAAACACGTAATCATTTGGAGTTCGTCTCTGTTCATCTCTTACAGGAGAGGCTTTTCTCAAAATCTGACCTATTACCAGGACAGAGGTTGAGTTTGTGTGTGGGCTAAAGGTGTTAAGTTGGTGCTGAACCAAAAAGAGAAATAATGTAACTGTAGTTTAGGTGGCAAAAATGTTGCTGTGTTCTGTTCACAAACAAGAATAATTCTACGGACTTATCTCTCCTATTTTTACTATTTTTAAGTTAAAGAATCACATGAAGATTAGGCACCCCAGTTTATTTCACTTTATTATTAAACACCCGAAAATAATGCAATAACGTAAATATCAACATGAAAAGAGAGAAATAAATATCAATCAATAGTTTGGTGAACGATGAATGTAATAGCAGTGTAAATCGAACTTATATTTAATTGAATTTTTACCTTAAGTGTGGGTCTGCAAGTTCCAGATTCACAATAATATTAAAGCAGTTGACTGTGTTCTTCCACATCTTTCTGTGTCTGCCCGTGTGTTACATGAGGAACAGATTTTCACATTTAGTATGACTGTCACTCCTAGGGATCGTCAATATCAATCAGGTTGGCACACGAAGGTCACTGACTAACAAGAGCTTAATGTCGCTACCCAGATACTATAACGAAGCCGACGAGTTGTCAGGGTGATGAGGTCACTTTGGTATATAATAAAGGCATGGGATAACCAGAAAATTAGCCAAATGTAGACCTGACCAAACAAACCATTATATGACATAACAAAACTGAACTTAACCTCACATAGAATAAGTAACGTATCGTAACGCAACTTAAAATAACTGAGCATAATATAGCATAACATGACATTATATAACCTAACCTAACCTAACCTAACCTAACGAGGTAAAGTTAGAGGATCTATTTAACAGCTGAATGGTGTAAAGGTCATATGATCTAGATCATGTATAAAAGCAAAACCTTATTTCGTATATTTTATGTTTGAAGTATTGTTATTATCTCAGAATCGTGACTATTTTTGTGTTTAGGGAATGAAAAGTTTTCCGAGAATTTATATTAAATCCAGAGTGTTCTGTTTCCCACAGATGTAAATAATATTGTGTCCACGTAAATATGTATTCTTGAATAAAGACGAAAGCTAAGGTGCTCCGTTGTTTCCCTTTTCCCGTGTGATTTGATCAAGATTTATCTTATCCACGTTTTCATTGTGGATCTACACGAAATATATATATATATATATATATATATATATATATATATATATATATATATATATATATATATATATATATATATATATATATATATATATATATATAAAACAAAGAAGTTTGTCTGTATGTGTGTCTGCACGAGAATCTCGGAAACTACTTTACCGACCTGTAGTGATGATGGATGGTGTTATATGTAGTGATGATGATGGATGGTGTTCTATATAGTGATGATAATGGATAGTGTTATATGTAGTGATGATGGATGATGTTATATGTAGTGATGATGGATGTTGTTATATGTAGTGATGATGATGGGTGGTGTTATATGTAGTGATGATGGGTGGTGTTATATGTAGTGATGATGGATGATGTTATATGTAGTGATGATGGATGGTGATATATGTAGTGATGATGGATGGTGTTATATGTAGTGATGATGGATGATGTTATATGTAGTGATGATTAGACAATAAAATAATAACAGTTAAATGCTAAAAAAATATACTTTGGTGTACCGTTGTAGTGAAAAACATGGTGGAACTTACATACACCGTTAATTAACTATTGATGGAAGAAGAAGTTTTGGGGACTGAACAGAGAGACAATGTGGAACCTCCCGGAGGGTGGCGTCCTACCGTGCCTAGCGGATGAGCCGCCCGGAATGAAGAGCGGACAGTCGGTCACAGGAAACAGTTCAGGAAAGGGAATCCCTTCTTAATGCTGACAGATAGCAAACAGCAGAAAGGCCTTCTCTAGATAATAATCAAGCGCATGAAATTCGTTTGGATGCTAATAGACAGAGAGCTGCGGGATCCAGAATTCTAAGAAAGAATACACAGTGGCATCCACTTGCAAGAGCAGCATTTAACTATGACAATGAGATAGAATATGAAAAGTATCCCTATGTTGTCATTGGCAACATGGATAAGAAATGTGAACACTGCGGTGCAAAGAAGTATAAAGGAGAATCTGCTGGACTGTGATTGCTCTCATGGGAAAGTACGACTGGCAAATTTGGAAAAACCACCACAAGCATTGAAGGCTCTCTTGCTGGGAACAACACCAGAGTCAAAACACTTCTTGGAAAATATACTGAAGTAAAATTCATGCTTCCAGATTACATCCTTTGGAACTACCAGAGTAGTTCGTTAGCACGGATACATACCAACATTCAAAGTCCAGGGTCAAGTCCATTACAAAGCAGGATCCCTCTTACCACTGGAAGATGAGCAGGCAAAGTTCCTGCAAATCTACTTCATGGGAGATCATAAAAAGCAGACTACTATCAGGTGTGGCAATATTAAAGGGGTCAGACATGACATTGTCCTATCTATCCAAGAAATTTTGCATGCGTGCAACACGTATGTACAGTCATTTAAAAATGCCCTAGAAAACATGCCTTCTGACGAGTACAAAATCAGGATCAAAGCAGACACGACCCCTAAGGGAGAACATGAAAGAAGATTCAGTGCTCCTCTAGTTGATGAAGTAGCCATCCTGATTGTCGGTCAAGAGTTTGAGAAACGAGACATCATACTCAAAATGAGAGACGCGTGTCTCACAAGAAGACATGATGCCACATGTACTGGAAGCTACAATACTGACAGGAAAAGCTAAAGGAGAGGACGTTTTTATACCAAGGATACCTCTCATCACCACTGTCCTGCCATTTGAGTTCAAGCGACTTCAGTTCCC